TGCCGCCTAGCGGCATAATTACGAATTGGTGTCAACCACCCAGCAGCCCTTGACCTCCTGGCCAACTTTGCCTGAAGATATCACCTTTCTATATCATCAGGATCTTAACATACAGAAGAATAGATTATTTGCATCCTCACTTGCGCCACCTAGCGGGAGAATTGTGAATTGAACTGTCCATCACCCAACAGCCCTTGACCAACTCATCAACTTTGCCCAAGACATGATCAGTCTGAATAATCAGAATCTTGAGATACAGAAATACTGAATATTTTCGTGTGGAATACTCACTATTTAGCGGTAGAACTCCTAAATGTTTTATCAACCACCCAGCCCCCTGATCAAATTTGCCAAAGACATTACCGGTGTCAATAATCAGAGACAGCAATACAGAATATGTGCATGTGGGATGCTCACTACCGCTGCCTAGCAACAGAATTCAGAAATGATCTGTTCACCTTCTCACCCCTTGACCAAGTGATCAACTTTGCCGAAAACATCACCCTACTAATACAGGGATGGAAAATCATTTAAATTCATTTAATGCATTCATTTACATTCATTTGCCTCTAACTTTTTTCATCAACAAAATTCCGCAAAATAATGTATGGAGCTTTTGTAGGTTTTGTTATTAACCCAAAACTTAAATCTGTATCTCTTATGCATCACGAACTAGAGCGGGCAGAACTTGTTACTGTTTTTTAGTGATGGTAAAATACATTCACTGAAAAACAGTAGTGGCTTCTGTTCGCTCTGGTTCGTCATGCATAAAAGATACGGATTTGAGTTGTTAACAAAAGTTGTAGCTAATAACAAAACCTACAAAAACTCCATACATCATTTTGTGGAACTCTGTTGATGAAAAAAGTTAGGGACAAATGAATGTAAATGAATGCACGAAATGAATGCAAATGATTTTCCATGCCTGCCTACTATATAATCAGGATCTGGAGAGATTAATGCATTTAAATATTTAGAACACAAAATAGCTTTAAAATATCGATTAAGGCCACATTATCAGAGATAAATGCATATAAAGATTTGAAACCTCTATTGCACAGTGGTCCAGAAGGATAAAATTCAAGAAAAATAATAAAAAGTGCATGAAGATGAAGTTAATTCTACTCCAGTGTATTGAGAGAAGTTTTTAGTTGAACGAAGGCACATCTGATGAAGGGGTCATCCATAAATAATACTCATTGAATAGCCATTTGAAAATTGTAACATTTTTAACCGAATATTTTCGATACTAAAATGCTCTTCAAAATTGTAGAACTGATCATTTCCATAAACTTTGCTGAATACCCAAATTTGGCAGCATATCATTTTCATTGAGATATGAAGCGTTCTTTATGGTTTTACTTTTTTGTTTGATGTTCAGTATTTTTTTTACTTTACAAAAACACACAACTTTTTAGAAGACAGCAAATGGGGCAAAAAGTTTCAAAAACTAATACCGTGGTGAGATTTTAAATATGTTTGTGAACATTTTGGTGCAAAAATACTGAAGGGGCAATTGTTAATTACTGCGTGACAGTTAATCAAATATTGAGAATGTCAGTGTAATTATGGCTTTAATACCGGCCTTTCTTCAGTAACACATTCATTTGAGTTCTTTTAGATATTGTATGTTTGGAGAAGTTTTTAATTACATCAAATGACACAACTATGCTGAGACTGTGACATGCTATTTGACAAGTCTGTGAATACACAATAATGCTTCATATAATACCTGTGGAAGAGGATTGCTATAGAAAATGGGCTGAAAAAAGATACGATTTTTATAAAAACCAAAAACTCACTTTTTGTTAGTGAACGTTTAGTGAATCTTCAAGATAGTTATATAAATGTAAAACCGAACATTAAAAAGCATGGAAGTAGACGTATTTTAGAACACTTACCTTGTCTAGAGTGCCTGTAGAGAGAGATACGACATGTCAAAATTGAAACAATCAATTATTCGTCATTAAACGTCATTCTAATACCCTATCAAATAAGTGCGGTGACGTCATTCTCTCTCTTTACAGAAACTTTAATTATGACTGGGAGTAGTTTTACGTGATACTTCGCTACCCTAAGTGTAACGGGTGGTGTCTTCAAAACTGTAGTCGTCACATAAAACGCACCCTTTCAATTTTGCGTCGTCCATATTTATTTCGATCTAGATATGGCAAGTGAAGTCCAAACTGGGTTATTTCCTTTCGATCGGGGGAAGAATCACCGACTAATAATGACTTCGTTTATTATACTATTTTGGTGCATTTTTCTCAATGAATTATTCGTACGAGAATCAAATCCCATCCGTTTGCGGTTCGTTGATTTTACAGATTGATCGATAATTTCCTCATGTTCTAACATGTATGTATGTTTGCATGCAACGACCTTTCATTTCTACTACATAAATAATAATAATCTACATTTACATTCTTGTAATTTTCCTTGAGCATCGTACAGGAAAATAAATACTCGTTGCATTCAATTAATTATTTAATTACACAGTGTCTTAACGAAATGATACCAAAATTCCATTTCGAGGGGGAATTCTACTTCTTTCGTACGCTTAGAGTTGATGTTGTCTCAACTTTGGTACAATACATTCTTGTTTGTTGTAATCCAGCATAATACACGGGAGCTAGATTAAATTCAAAGTATGTACATACAGTAATATTTACACAAAAGGAGTTCGATATAGGGACACTCATCACAAATTATTTGCTTTAATCTTATCGGTACATGGGCGTTTGCATTCCGTATTTAATATAGTTTTTTTATTTAAACCTTTCCTCAAGTTTTAGATAGTTGTATTACTATTTAATTCTATTATTCAACTTATTTTTGAATGTCCAGTACATATACTTACACTTATTCTGTTTCCTACAAAGCTTCCACTAACGCAAATGAGCATTCTTGATTATAACTTAACTTCTTAGATTCAAATAAAATTAAAAACTAATCGTTTCACCATTCAAGCGATGTGAATTTTACGAACTAAAAGGAATTTTTGTGTGTGTGTCTGGTGTGCTTTTGAAGCATCGGTAAAGCACCATCACAGCTAGGTAACGAATACGTTTCTTTTCTTTCGCATATTCGTAAAATCCTGCGATAAACTCGAAAAACAGTTGCAAGATAGTCGAATGGGCGCATTCTCAATGCGTCACATTGTCGTAGTACGTTGATTGGGAATAGCGTTTCAGAGAGAAAAATGAACAACTAGGTGATGCTTGTGATTTGGAAGATTTCATTTCATGTTGGGCAGAAAGTGAGGCAAATATGTCATGGCTTCAATTTTCTAAGCTTCAACTAAAACAATGATTAAAACACCTGTTCAAACTCAGCTGTTGTCGAGACTGGCTACAACAGATGTACCTCTCGGTGTGGATCACACAATAGTATGTATATTCGGTAGAATCAGTTATTGGTTTAGTGCGCTTTGTTCATAGCTACAGCTCAGTCATATTGTCGTTGGGGATGATGGCAAAAAAAAACTCCTTGTTCCTTGGTTGCGCCACGTAAGTGTCATTCACTGACGTTAGGGAGGCGACTCCACACGGATCATACATATCGACCCCAGCACTAGCGCCAGGAACAACGCAACGAATTTACTTCCCTTCCGAAGGCAGACGTGACCAGATGTATCGCCTCAGAAAAATTTCAACGACCTTGGCTGGGGTAAGAAAGTAGTCACGCCTTAACACTAGACCAACAAGATTGTAAAAAAACTGGAGATATTCATTGTAGTAAAGAATACGATAAAATTAAGTTTCCGCAATCGAAGTATGAAACCCACCTTGGGCGAATTTTCCAATTTCGGAAATAAACACTGAAAGTGAACTTTTTGCTAGTCCTAGTATGATTTTATAATGTAATTTTTACACAGGAATCAATTTTTGAGACATTTTGTAATGTGCAAATATTACTTAAAAAACTTACTAACAAGAAGTTAAAAAGTATGACCCAAAGTAGATGTTCTACGATTTTTGACAATTTTCAATTGTCCATGGTATAAAATATCTCAAAAGTTTTAATTTTTCATGAGCTGTTTATTAAAATAATTAAAAATGAGGTATACTTTTAAGATATTTGAGTTTTGTACACTTCTTTGGAATTTTTACTCAAAATTACCAAAAAAAGAAAACGTGTATATTTTTTCCAAAAAGACTTCACAATTCACAACAACATTGTCTCATTTCGATTAGAAGAGATGTTTTCGTGCTACAATTTATTGAAAACTGTCAAAGACGCAATTTTGAAATAAATTACCAGTTCCAAAATGGACCAATTTCAACAAAAATGTGCATGATTGTCCATAGCAAACATTTTTGCTTTGGGCTGGAATTTCATTTAGTTTAATTTTCCTTTATGTGAGTGTACAGGCAGTGGAGGCACACTTGTCACATATGGGGGATTACGTCCAATATGTGCGAGTACCAAGGGGTTAGTCACTCTGCACAGCGTGCTAAAAGTAGATTCGGCACAGTTTGGGAACAACCATCGGCACATTCTAGTAGGTGTTGAATTGTTATTTAAATAAAATGGGAGCACTGCTGGACAACTGTGATTAAAGTTGTGTGTAGCGTTACGTGCTATTTAATTACATATTTCAGGGCGTCCTTCAATAAAATTTACCAGTGGAACTTAGTCACATGTCCAGCCAGCATTCCACACGTCGGATTAAATCCGACATGTATGTTTAAACGACTTCAAAGTAAGAGGCAGGGTTGCTAGATTAGCTTCGGGTGTAAGTAAGACGTTAGTATCCGTAATTTAAACCATGCTGCAACCCACACAGAACAAACAACAGAAAGCACATCCCCCAGTTCTCACTAAAGCGATACCCATCATGCTCTACATTCGGTCTCCAACAATTGTTGATGGATTTAAACATTTGGTCAACCATTCCTAACCCCATCCCGTAATGATATTTAAGCTCCTACCGGTTCCAACCTTTTCCGGCCGCTGATAGACCGTTGAATTTTAAATCACAACAAGAATGTGAGTATTTGTATCACCTAAACTCGTTCAGGTAGAGATAGAACCCGGTGTGATCAGGTCCCAAGAGGTAGTGACCTCTTTTTGGGGAGCATTTTTTCATCGATGTTATCTATCTTAGCAATGGACGTTTCTCGCTCAATCGCTCGTAATGGTTTAATTTCCGTAGTACCTCATCAATCCGATGCTACCTTACCTTACCAATCAGGCTCAGGCCTTGATGTTCTCTGCTGTCCGAAGAAGTCGTCTCCGCTCTACTCGATCCATGGCCACACGTCGCCAGCCTCGTAGTCTCCGAAGGGTCCGCAGGTCGCCTTCTACTTGGTCGATCCACCTTGCCCGATATTCTTACGACATGCCCAGCCCACCGTAGTCACCCAATTTTTGCAATGTGGACGATGGATGGTTCTCTCAGCAGCTGATGCAATTTGTGGGTCTTTCGCCTCCTCCACGTTCCATCATCCATCTGCACTACACCGTGGATGGTACGCAGCACCTTCCGTTCGAAAACGCTAAGGGCGCGTTGGTCCTCCAAACGCGTATTTGAATTTCTCTGCTGGTATCATTTTCGGCGGTCACCAGTAAGCTTAAATACACGAACTGAACTCGGGCTGGGAGGCTAATATTGCCATCCCTAGATCCTCTTCCTCTCATGTATTTCGTCTTTGATGCGTTGATGGCAAGTCTAATCCGCCTAGCTTCAGCCTTAAGTTTGATATACTTTTCCGCCATCGTCTTAAAGTTCCGTGCCATGATGTCGATGTTATCGGCGTAACCAAGAAGTTGGATTGACTTCCTGAAGATTCCAGACACGAAAGTCCATCACGTTACCGTAACCCCCTTCGAGATTCAAAGGGACTCGAGAGTGTCCCCGATACTCAAACAACGCTCATCACTCGATCCATCGTCGCCTTGACCAATGGCGTCAGTTTTTACGAAAATCCGTATTCGTTCATAATCTACCATAGCTGATCTCGATCGATTGTATGTATGGGCACGTTGTATTCACGGCATTTCTGCAGAACCTGCCGAATCGCGAAAATTTGGTTCGTGGTAGCACGGGCACCCATGAATTCCGCCTGATATGACCCCACGAACTCTCTTGCAAATGGGGACAGGTGGCGGCATATAATTTGGGAGAGTACATTGTAGGCGGTGCTCAGTAGTGTGATCGCGCGGTAGCTGCAGCAATCCAACATGTCGCCCTTTTTGTATATTGGGCATACGACACCTTCCATCCACTCCTCAGATCTCCTCCTTCCAAATCTTGGCAATTACTCAGTGCAGCGCTCTAGCTTCATCACCGAATTTTAATAGCTCATTTGGTAGTTGATCCAAGGTCTGTTGCCGTGCTATTTTTGTTTACTGATGCATCACCGTTGAGGTGCTCGTCATAGTACTACTTCCACCTCTCAATCACCTCACGCTCATTCGTGAGAAGGTTACCGTCCAATTCCTTGCACATATCGGCTTGCGGCACGTAGCATTTGCCCGAACTATTTAACTTCTTTTAGAATTTCCATGTGTCGTTTACGATGCGCTCAAAGATAAATTAAATCAAAAAAGCTTAACAAGTATGCAGATTCCCCACCGATTCCCGCTTCATCTTATTGAGTCCGAACCATGATTACTTCGGCAGTAGTCATGCATGATTAAATTCGAATTAATCTTTCCAGTATTAAATTTTATTCTTTATGAATATTTTTTTCTTCTTCTTTATTTAGTTAAATATTAATAGATAATCAAAAAAGATTAAAATTCAATCAAAAATTATTAAAATAGAATCAAAAATGATTAAAATTTATTCAAAAACGATAATTTTCAATGTAATCAACCTTGATTAAACTGGGTTAAATATCGGATGATTATTTTTTAGAAAGAGAGTATTAATTTTTAATCATTCGATATGATTAAACTGAGTTTAATGTCAAATTGATTAAATTTCAAGCAAAATGGGAATAGTTTAATTTGTCAGTGTGTACAGATTTTCCATCGCCTCGCGATCTTTTCTGCTGACGCTTCTTCTTTCGAAAAACCGAGTGCTCCACATTCAATCTCGTGCGGTGTTGCAGCATTCTCGCCCATGTTGCATTCTTCTCCTCTACTAACAGTTTGCATTCGCCATCAAACCAGTCATTTCTTCGGTTCGGGATCGCAGAACGTAGTACCGCCGCAGCAGTACGGATGTCCTTCCAGCCATCTTCAAGAGTAGCCGCGCCAAGCTGTCAGAGAAGAATTTTCCATCGATTAGAACGTGAGCGATAAGGTTTTTTGTGTGTTGGTCAGGTGATCTCCAGGTGGCTTTGTGGATATCCTTGCGTGGGAAAAGGTACTTCGGACTAGCATACCACGGGAGGCCGCAAAGCTTACATATCGTTGGCCGTTGTCGTTCGAGACGGCATGCAGGCTGATCGGCCCGATGCTAGGGCTGTGTTCCATTTGGTGAATTTTTACTTAAATTTGACAGATGGAAACTTTTGAAATAAACCTGCTATTCTACCAGACTTATTTCTGACACCTATTCGAAAATCGGACGATCAACAACAGAGAGATTTTCGAACATTTTAATTTATTTTCGAAGTGCCAAATTTAAGTGAAAATGATTTAAAAGAATATAGATCAACATACACTTTTCAACACATACCTTAATGCAGTTGTCAAAGTTCCGTTCGGAAAACTATCCACAACTATTTGTGCATCACCCCCTATGGAAAGATGGCTCAGGAACGGTATACTGCCAACAACGTGCAAGTCGTACGCAAGGACAATACCCTCCCAATTCGCTGGAGCTGCACCCAATTGAAAAATATTGGGCAATCATTAAAAGGAACCTCAAGAAAACTCTGAAAACAGTTGGAAATGACAAACAGTTCAAAGTAAACTGACGTTCAGCATTAAATAAGGTTGATACAACAGCGGTACAAAATCTGATGGAAGGTGTGAAACGCAAAGCCCGACAGTTCGCATTTGGAAAATCGGAAGCCTAATCAAATAATTTTCCTGTATTTTGTAGTAATTGAATTTCAAAATGAAATAAAGTTTGATCATTTATACACTAATAAAAATTCAATGATTATTTGTTTGTGTCCCACACATGAATTTTTGCAATGTGATAACCAAACGATATATATGTGTCGGACACATAGTTCTTATGCGTACACATAAAATTCATGTGTAACCACACATACTATTCATTTGACTCATAAATTTCATGTGTACTTCTAAGTGGATTCTGTTTATGTGTGGACACATGAAAATTATGTGGAATTTTACATGGAAATTCGCCAATAAAAATGCGTCGAGTGTACAATCACATAACATTATGAGTGTACAATAACATAATCAGTGTGCACTGTATTATGATTGATCAATTTTTGACCATTCCACCCTTTAACTCTGGCAGGCTGGACTGAATGATTTTCGACTCAAAAACAAGTAACCTCAAAGTACATGTGTGATGATTCTGAACGAAGACATAAGATCATGTTGAAATTTAATTTTGAGCATGGTAAGTGTCTGGATTTATGGATTTATTGTACGGATTTCGATCCATTACGGAATAGTGACTATTCATTGTCTGGGTCTGGCGATGACAAATCGCATCTACATTGAGACTGCTGTAAGCTGCGCCGGATGTCAAATTGACAAAAAAAAAACAAACAAATCAATGCATGATTATCTCGTTGAGATCGTATAGTTGTTTATTTCTTTGGAAACAAAGCACGGAAACAAAGCATAACAACGATTTCTGCAATGCTTTTGGCTCGTTTTGTTTCCAAAGAAGCAGTCAATAACAGTTAATTTGGGTGACGTTTTGCAGCTGCACCACTTTTATAATATATTCAATTTGTTTAACATTGTCACTGTTAGCGCTTTCATCGCAATTATTTTGGTTAAACAGTTTTAACGGGTGTTGACAATTCGAAATTTCGATAAAATTTAACCGATAGTTGATTTTTCTAAGCCAAAAACTAATGAGAGTCAAAGTTTTACCAAATACTTTTGTTGCTGAATGTTCGGAAAGAAATTATGTTTTAATGGACCTTTGTTAAATTATAGGTATAGTTGAATCATAAGAAAGTATGGAGCACAACAAAACTATTATGCAAATTAATACACGCAATCCAACGGAGTTTTGAGTTCACTGCTAAACGCCCCTTCTGGTGATAATTGAATTTTTAGTCTCCGCTGGAGCTCAAAAACCAGCCACCATCCAATTAATCTTCCAAATCACATAAGCGTACACATTTGCATCCAATTAATTAAACTAATTTTACGAATCCTCTACTACCGGCAAATCGCCACATCGATGCACCAATTAGCACCAGAGCTACCCAACCATTTCTGCTGCGCTCCAAAGCCCACCGCGATCTGCTGCCACTTTTGGCGGTTGAATTACTTCCGCTACTGTTATTCCACCGTTCACTAGAGCCAGGAGAAACGGGTTTCAGAGTCATGACAATCTGTGTCGTTTCGTAGTCCTTGTCGCTGCGATGGTTACTGCTACCGGCAGCGTGACCAACCGTATTCATCCGATGATTGTTGGTTCGATGTTTTTCATGGGAATCCTCCATTCCGGAAGACTCGGTTAGATCTTCGTCGTCGCTATTGTGCGGCTGTTTTAGATGCTCCGATTGGCCACCCAGCTGGGAGTCTTCAATTTCCCTTCGGATTTGGGTTCTCTTTAGGCTGTTGCACAGATCCTCACTGCAGTAGCAGTAGTCGATTTTGTTGGCGCTCTTGCAATCGTTGATTGGAAGATTTTCACCACAGGTTCGCAGTTCCATGTCACCTGGGGTGGAGAGAAGATAAAAATTAGAATTAACGATTTGCTGGTGAATTTGGCTGTATATTAAAGCACTAATTGTGAGAATCGTGATAATAATTGACCACCATTTTTTTTTAAATTGCATCTTATCAGTCCAAAGGCCCAAGCGCAATGATAGCGGAAGCGGAACGGCAACGGAAAAGGCAGATATTGGGCCGTATGAATAAAAAGAGTTTACTTTACTTTCCCGTGCTTTTCTTACGGGAAAAGTAAAGTAAACGCTTTTATTCATACGACCTATTGTCGGATTGAAAACTAGTTAGAACCAAAATGGCTTCGGTTAATCATTTTGATGTGATTTGTGACTACATTTAAACTCTTCGTTTCCATTCCGCTTCCGCCCACATTGCGTGTGGACCTTAATGGTGCGAATTCAAATACAACGAGTTAAAATTACACCAGCTTTACTTTAATTTGTTCTAGAAATGACTGGAGTAAACATCAGCTATCTCTTTCTACGCTTTCTAGGAATTATGTTTCAACATTAGCATAAATTAAACTTATCACCTAACGGCAACAATCGAACAAAAAAGTGTATCCTTCCGAGTATCAAACGGGAAGCAAGATAAATGATAATAAATTTGTAAGAATGATTTTCAACTGGAACGGACTCACCAAATTTATTGATGATGGATGTCCAATTGCGGATTAATGCATTATGAATTCAAATTGCACCACCTTTGCATTCATTGCATTCAGAAATGGCAGAAAACGTGCTGGAACCAGGAGGGTGGTAGCGAGAAAAATATTGTAGCTGGTATCAAAACCATCATGACCATAAGACGAGCGCTAAGATCAGTTTATCCAGATTGCGCACACACTAAGATTTTTTTTACAGGAGTCAGTATGTTTTTACTGGGTTTTTGAATTTGCTGAAAACGTCGGTAAAAATTCAAATGACCGTTATCCGTAAGGAATCAATGAAATCAACCAAGTTTATTTTATATCATTAAATGGGGTTAACAAAACTAAGTACGAACAAGTTCAGAACAAATTTTCTCATTAATAAATTTTCCACAGATGTTTAAACTTTTACCGAACAGTTCCGCAATTCAAAAACTTGGTAAAACCGTACTGACTCGATTAGTGTGCAAAGAGATCACCCAGATTGGATGTAAACTGAACAAACCAGAATATGAGTGGGTTTTTGACCAAAATATTGGTAAATGTGATCCTTATTTGAGTTATTTTTATCCAAATTTCATGTAACTTACTTGGGTTATAAATGTTGCCTACGTTCTGGGTTTGCCCGCTTTATGCCCAATCTGGACAAACTTATTCTACATAATAAACATTCTAGCTTATCTGATAGTGTTTGTTTTGATTCTCTCGTGCGCTGAGAGCTAACCAAATTTCGACACCGAAGGACGGATGAATGCATGCTCGAATTTGCGTCCAAAAATTTTGTGTCATCCAAAGGAAAGCACCGAGTTTGCTCCTCTTTAAAATTGCAATTAAAGCGGAGTTTGTAGATCCCGATAAAACTACTTGCAATCAATATAAACATTGAGAAAAGTTACTGGGTCACCCTATTAAAAAATATGGTAACCCTAAGTTCAAACATCTTGTTGCTTGTTAGTAACGCGCTATGTAACCGGTGGAAACTAACGATTTTAAATTGGCTCACTACTTGACTAGCCTATTGGTCCCAAGCAAATCGACTAACGTACCCCATTCTAGTATAAATTCCAGTACTACACTATGTTTGTTTTGATTCGCTATGAAAGTATGACAGATAAAATGAGGGGTTAGTCGATTTTCCTATGTTTCGAGGGATGCATCGATTAGCTTGGGACCGAAGATAGTACCAGAGCTGAGCCAAAAAGTTGAGCTCGTTTCTTCGTGACCTCCTGGTCTTAGAGTTACCTCTATGCTATGTATATATAGATAACATAAGGAGTAAGCCACGTGGTAAGCCACTCTGTCACCGTGTGTCTGTGTTAGTTTCCACCAGTTTGTTATAGAGATTGCTGACGTTTGCCGTACGCACACTACCTCACGTATACGTATACACAAAACGTTTTCATCAGGAAAAAAAACTTCAGATGGTCCCGAAGAAACGAGCTCAACTTTTTGGCTCAGCTCTGCTACTATCTTCGGTCCCAAGCTAATCGATGCGCCCCACGAAACTTAGGGAAATCCACGAACCACATAGCGAATCAAAACAAACCTAGTGTAGTACTAGAATTTCAACTAGAATGGGGTACGTTAATCGATTTGCTTGGGACAAATAGGCTAGTCAAGTAGTGAACCAATTTAAAATCGTTAGTTTCCACCGGTTGATAGAGTTCCATAAACGTTTCACAACTTTAGAGATCGAATATTAGTCAACGTGCGGCTACCGTTGAGGGTAACTTGTCTGAAGATTAGTCCTTGACACGGGCATTAGCCCTCTCGCTGTGGTATGAAGACGAATGGGCACGTGCCACCCGAGCAGAAGGACTAGGCCATGAGTATAATTTTCAATTAATTACTGGGACTGTGTTGGCGTGAACCTAGGATTTACAATCAGAAACTGTTCCGTTGCGCTTGTCTTGGTTTTCTTGCAAGATATCTTTACATCTGTTCCTCCTGATGCTGCTGCTTTCGTGGATCCCAACCGGTTTCGTATTTACTTTTCTTCGGATTGGAGGTTTTCAATCCAGATCCAGAACATTTTCTTGCCCGACAGGATGGTGCGACAATTTTCTTTTGACGTAGAACTACGTCTTTGTCGACGGCGTGAAAAAAATAAAAAAAAATATGTGAAATAGTGTTAGCGTTCAATTGTAACTTTGTTATTTACCTATAGATGAAATTATAATCCAAATACGCCAATTGAAAGGATATTACTTAACAAATCTGCTGAAATAAATAATTTCCAAATTTTTCATAAAAAAAACTTTTGATAAATATACAAATGTTAATTTTATCACTGTTTTCATGAAATAAACGTTTTTCCCAAACCCAGTCGTCATAATCGAATACCACTTGGTTGCACATCGTTCTGTTTCAACCTGAAAAGATATAAAACAGCGCTGCTGTCGTGCATCTGCTCATTTCATTACCACTCATGTTTACATCTATGCGGATTTGCTAGCGCTAGTGTACTAGCACCACAAACGAAGTGACAGACGACTAACTGGCGAAGAAATCAATTAAAATAATGTGGTTCGCTGTAATAGAATTCTCTTAGAAGGTTGTGCCTTTAGCCACCAGATGGGCTATTTTTTTATGTTTTGATTTGAACAAATTTTTTTTGAGTGTGCAATGATTTTTGACAGTGTGCAAAGAGTGTATCATTTTGTCATTATTTTATGCATTTCAGTTTTGAGTAGAGTGAAAGAGATAGAACCAAAACATTATAGTACATTTGGTGAAAATGTTAGTACAATCCAGTAGTAGTGTTGCCATATGGTACACTGAAAAATTGCAATAGCAGGTTCGTCACCAAAGTTTTCGAGTCTCTCCGTCCGTCACTTCGTTTGTGCTAGCACTGTGCAAAAAAGTAACCACCATAATGCAAGCAGGGCATCAGCGTCACGAAACACGCCCCCTCCCCAGGGCTACCAAAACTACAGATAAATCTGTATTTCTACAGATTTTTCAGAGTTCTTAAAACCAAGATTCTGTATTTACAACAGATTTTTAAGATTTAAACAGATTACACATATTTTTAAAATATGATCAAACAATTTTAAAACTGAATCTTGAGATGTTTAAAAACTTTTTTTTGTCACTTCAGCCAAATTTCATCTTTGCCAACTAATTGCATGTATACATGCTTTTTTTGCGATTATAAAAGGAGAATGAAAACTGTCAGAGTTATTATTTCTTGCCAAGCCATAAGTAATCACTTTTCAAAGAACATTTTTTAAGGATTCAATTAATGAATTATCAACACAGATATCATCACAGATTTCCTGGACAAAAATTAAGGGGCTGTTCATAAACTACGTAGAAAGTTTAGGGGGGGGGGGGATTATCCACGGCCCATACAAATTAAAAAAAAATTGTGTGGACAATTGTCTACGCATGGGGGGGGGGTCAAGAATAAAAAAAACTGTCTACGTAGTGTATGAACAGCACCTAAGATGAAATGATTTTTTTGGACAAAAACACAGATTTACTTTTGGCAACCCTGCACCTCCCCACCCCCCCCCCCCCCCCATATTGGACGTAAATTGTGGAACGTAAACAAACATTTCATGTAAAATTAAGTGTTCTCAACCCGAAACATAAGCAAATCGAAGAAGAGAACGTTTTATTGAATTCATTTTCTCGTTTCTTTCAACTAATTCTTATGTCAAAAGAGCCGCTTACATGTTTCGGTCTCAGGGAACGGAAAATTACATGAAATTTTCGTAGTGTGTAGGCTTTTGAATTAAATTTCACTTTATTTTCATGTAACATCTATGTGAAAATTACTCAAAGTGAAAAGATCTTTCCCCAATCCACTAGAAAGCAACATAAATTTTATAGTACTTTCTAAATGAATTTTATTACACTTTCACTTAAATTTTATTAAATTTCTTCGTAGCACTAGAGGACAATTTTTTGAAACATGGTGAATAGATTTTTTTAAATTGTGGCTGGGGGTTGAACAGATGTATATTGCTTTATTGTTATTGTTTTGGTCTTTATTGGATGAGCCTGTATGAAGTTAGATTTGTTTTAGTAAAACGCTCGATTCTTAACTTTTTACCTAGTGAACGAATTTTAGTAAAATTAGTGGCATATGAATGATCTTTATTACGACTAAAAATTAGCAAAATTTCAAATAGTTACGATCATTTTATTTTCTTGAAATAAATTTTTCCAAGAAAAAGGCGTTTTTCTTAAATTGCTCTAACTTTTTGCAAACTCAACCAAATATGCTCAATGCTGTGCCAATAATTGATAAATGTATGCTGAGTCAGCTGCCAAAAATTCAGAGACATATCTTTTTAACTTGCTTTTAGAGCCGTTTTTCTCAATTTTGAGAT